TTCTCTCCTGATACTATCAATCCTGATACAATCAAGATATTCTCTCCCAAGACGGCGGCTCCGGGAACAGCTGAGTGCTTGATCCATAAAACAATGGATTTCTGGATTCTCCTGCAAATTCCCCAGCTGTAAACCCTCCGATCCTCCAAACATACCTTTATAATTGTTTCAGAGCCCTCTTGGCCCAGTATTCTGTGTTGTTGTTGTCGGAGCTCCTCATTACACGTCTACCCGATCCACCGTCTTGAAGGAGCAAAGCCTGGTAGTGTAGTGGTTAAAAATCTGGCTGCGAACCCCACGGTCAGCAGCTCGATTCCACCAGGCCCTCCATGTGAGAGAGATGAGGCTTTCTGCTCCTTGCAGTTAAAACAGCCTTGGAGTCTGGCACCTTAACCCACAGCACCACACCTGGACTCCGAATCTTGCCACTCCAAGATCTCGCTGCCTCTCCAAGATCTCTACCAGGGCTACTTGGTCATAAATTTGAATTTGGTATATTAGGAAAATAGAATGGCATAGTTTTACAGTCTTAGATTCTGGCCTTGCATTCCTGAAAGCTTACATACTAGACACTGTATGTTATCTTGTAGCACGGCCACCACCACTGGACCTGAGAAACCTCTCCACCATCCGGGAGCATGCGTCTCTCAGCAGGACACACACTGGGCCTTGGTAAGTCTTGGATAACTCACAAAGACCTCAGTCAGCACCAACAAGGCCCTGTCTTTGAGTAAATCTAGTCAAAGCTCACTTAAGCTAGCTTAAGCTAAAGGAGGGTCTGGCTTTCTTATCGAGAGCTTGAGGTGTTTATAGACCATAAGTGAAGGAATATAATGATCGAGTCTTCTGGGACCCCCAAGGAATGCTTGCGCTCACCTTCATGTCTGCTGTGCTCTTTACTTGAGCCCACTTCTCTTTCTCTGTGAACTCTTTTTTCGGTTCTATCACTTTCATGACCAGCGATAGCTCCTGAGATGACATACATGTAACAATTCCAGGACCAACGGAGGTGTGCTGTTTTTGGGTCCTGATTCAGGTTTCCTGAGAGAGAGAATTGTATTGTCTCAATCTGAGGTTAATCAGCTATGATCTAGGAGGTGGAGTCTATAGTACTAACATTGCCTTCTAAACAAGGAGCTGTCAGAAAAGGAGGGTCGGTCCACGAGCTGTGTCGCTGGATACCCCGTATGTATTGATTCTCTCTCATCTCATTTGTTAGATGTGGTATTTTCAGGGTTCTGAGCCTGCCATGGAAATTTTGGGTTCAGTCTAAATGTCGCGGGACACAATCAGTTTCTAAGGTGGAAATTGGCAATGACTGTTTCCAGCTCAGACTTCAGAGAATCTCAGCTTGGGTTTCGGACTCTGGAGCCGAATAGAAGTCTGTTTGGAATCTCATCCTTGTCCTGTGAGAGGAACCGTCACATTACGTTTTCCTACTTTTCCTGCTTACTTTGAGTGGAAACAAGAGAGCCCCAAAGGAGCTCCTTTTGCTAAATGATTTGATGGCTTGGTCTGTTTCTAGAAATGCAATGTGTAGTTTCAAATGTAGGCCCTAGGAAAAGCAAAAACCAAACAACTTTTGAGAATTGGGAGCCATTTGCCTCCGAGTGGGAGGGGAGAGCTGCAGCCCCGCGGGAGCCATGTCAGTGCCTGGCTGGCTTTCAGAGCAGCTGTAAGACATTGCTTTGACCTCATCTGTATTTTTGTTCTTAGCAATCGAACCAGCTTTCTCTCTCCAGAAAGAAATGGTATTAATTCTGCAAGATTTTTTGCCAATCCTGTTTCCAGAGAAGAGGAAGAAAGTTACATCCAAATGGTAATTCTCTGTTTTCCACACTCTTTTTATTCTTCATCACAGTATGCACTCTTATGAACTCATTTAAAAGGCAACATACCCTTTCGAAATCCCTATGCGATCTTAAAATAATCACATTTGATTGTAAAACCATGTCACCAGGTTTTCTAGACTTTGAACAAATTTACTTGAAGCTGATTTTCTTCCCTGCAACATTCAACTCCTCACGCCATTTTCAGACCATAGCGTTTCGAGAGAACGCCACGCTGAAACAGGTAAAGGTGAAAGTGGAAAGGACAGTCATTCTTTTCACTGGCTCTGTAACGTCCTGTTGGAGCCCCATAGATTTGCAGTTCCGTGGATGTTCAGAGTCTGGGCAGTGAAAATTCCCACAGTGGTGGATGCTTCCCTTCCGCCATTGCACCAACTTACTTCCTAGTGATCCTGCTCGGATTCAGAACCTTCGTGGAGGACAAATCACAGTTAGGATGCAGGCAGAGGAAGAACGGGGGCGGTAGAATGGGAAGAGCTCAGTGCCATGGACTTCGAGTGTGAATGTGGCTTAGCCTCTGGCTTCTCTTGGCATAGGGTCTTTCATAGACGTGAATGGATAAAGACTAGACATCTCTAGCCTGTTGTTAACGAGTTACAGTTCAAGAGCTCTCTGTTGTCTCTTTGAGTCTAATCATCTTGGATTCTACAAAGAGGATCGGAGTTAGAACTCCCCATTCTGCAGTTTAGAAATTTCATTTGAACTATGACATTTTCAAAAGAGACCTTACTTAGAAGGATAAAGTTCAAAGAACTGAGAAGACTGTTCCACACTGCTGCAGGTGATGGGCAGTTGGAAATCTCACTATGGCAATCCTGCATGAAGCGATACATAAATGCTTCATTTTCCTTTTTTCTAAAAAATCATTTTCCTTTGTATTTGCTTAAAAATATGCTGTAAGTACACTTAACCATATGCAGATGGGAAGTGACTCATATACAAATCTGCTATGGTCTTCCCAATGTTTCTCACATTTAGTAATGGCCCTTGGGAAACTTCTAGAAGAAAGCACTCTTATAAAGGCTGCTGAACAGCTGTAGTCTGTCTCCAGAGAACAGCAAAGGAAGTAAACCTAAAACCTAACAGAGGCAAATGCACAGTCATCCAGACATCAGCAGTTCGTTTCTGGTCCTTGAGATAGATTGTGAGAGAGACTACTGTTTGATTAGCAGCCTGGTTAGGGATTCATTCCTTCCTAACTTTATAATCATTGGCCAACAGCTGTCTTTGTGCATTACTAGGCAAGACAGCACAGTAGATTCAGAGCCCAGCAGATCCACTAGCCACTCCTTGGGACCCCTACACAGCATCGCTGTGAGTCGGATTCGACTCGCCAGCACTTACCACCGGCAGGCAGCTGGGAAGAAATGGCCATAAAAGTATGTTCGAGACTGTTTTGTGATTTTGTTAAAAGCTTGATGTACAGTATTTTCAAATGATGGATTTACATGATTTCACTTATTCCACACAAGAAGCCTATACAATAGATCAAACAAATAACCCTTTGATTTCTACATGATTGGAAGTGTTCATTTTCTTCTCTTTGAGGGAAAGTTCTGATCTAAACTGAAAAATTTAAACGTGGTACTGAAACACAAGTTCTATTTTATTTAAGTTATATGTATTTCTTTAGTTACTTTAAATGTTTGTGAAATTTTAAAAAGTAGAAGAGTCAATATCATGATAATTTATCCGATGTCTTTTTTATATATTTTTCAAACATTTTAATTTCAACAATTTGGTAAGAACATTTTTATAGTAGAATTCTCTCATTAATTTTTTTATTGGCATGTTTTAATACTTTTGTTTTTTAACTTATACAGTAGAACAGATTTTCTCTTGGTATACATTTGTAACATACTTGTATATGCACCTATTTCTCACTTATTGACTGCCTTGTTATCCATTTTTTTTACATTTACAACAATAGTGAAAAACAATCCCCTATTTTTCTCATTAACAACATGTCTGGCATTAGCTGACACTGAGGTGATGGTGAAGGGCCATGATGCTCAGTGGTTCGGCAGGTAGGCAATGCTGTAATTAGCCGCCATTTTGTGTAATGTGATGCCTTCCTCCCGTTTTCACATAATGCCTCCTTTTGCATGATGCCTGCTCTTTCGAGTCTAACTATGCTGAGAAGTGAGGAGTGAATGTATAGATTTTTGTAGCCAGAGCAGAAATCAGAACACAGAGCAGTTCGGTTACCCCAAAATACTCCTTCATGTTAACACTTTAGAGTTACAGCCACCGCCCACAACTAGCCCCTGGCAAATACAGCTCTCTTCAACACTATAGTTGTGTCTTTTCAAGAATGTCATATAAATGAAATCATAAACTATATGTATAACCTTTTACTCAGCCTATGATTCTTTGAGACTCATCCAAATTGTTACACGTATCAGTAATTTATTCTGTGGTATTGCCAAGTAGTATCCAAGTATATGCATGTGCCACAATTTTTATATCTCCTCACCCACTAAAGAGCTGTTTCACGTCTCTGACAACTGATAACATAACTGTTAAGAATGTTCTTACACATGGACACACAATTTCATTTGTTTAGGGCAGTGGTCTCCATAGCAGGGCTGATTTTGCCTTCCCAAAGGACATTGGGCAATGTCTACAGATATTTATGGAGTCCTCGTGTGGCACTGTAGGATAATCACTCAACCATAAGGTTGGTTTGAACTATAAGGTTGGCAGTTCAAACTCATCAGCCACTCTTTCCTCAGAAACCCTATACAAGGTTGCTATGAGTCAGAACCAACTTGATGTCACTTAACGACGACAACAACAGAAACAGATCATTTTGGTTGCCATAAGCTGGGGCAGGGTGGCGGTGCTACTGCATCTGGTGACTAGAGGCCAGAGTTGTTGTTAAACATCCTCACCAACAAATAATTGTTGTTGTTAAGTGCCATCGAGTCGGTTCCGACCCATAGCGACCCTGTACAGGGTTTCTAAGGGTGTAAATCTTTACAGGAGTAGAAAGCCTCATCTTTCTCCAGCGGAGCGGCTGGTAGTGTCGAACCGCTGACCTTAAGGTTCGCAGCCCGATTCGTAACCACTATGCTACCAGAGCTCCTTACAAATGATTATCAGGCCCCAAATGTCACTAGAATAACGGCATTGCTAGGTCATATGGTTGTTGTTACTGACTTAGAGTGACCGTGTATAGAGTTTCCAAGGAGTGGCTGGTAAGTTTGAACCACCGACCTTATGCTCAAGTGCTTATCCTACAGCACCACACAACATACTTGGCTTGGGATTGTGGTGTTTTCAAGGGTTGTTGTTTTTTTGGTTTTTTGTTTTTTTTTTTAAAGCTAGACATTCTAATAGCTATGTAGTAGTATCTTGCTGTGGTTTTAATTTGTATTTCCCTAAATGCAACTGGAGTCCTGGTGTTGCACTCTAGGATAAGCACTGGACTGCTAACTGCAAGGTTGGTGGTTCAAACTCCCCAGCCACTCCTTGGAAACCCTATACTGGGTCACTTGGAGTCAGAGCCGACTCGATAGCACTTAACAACAACAACAACAGTTCATGAGCATATTCTGTGTTTTCCTATGAAAGGATTATCGTTTCAAGCTTTGTATTTAGATCTATGATCCATTTTGAGTTCATTTTTGTGTAACATGTGAGTAAGGTATATAGTACCGCATGTTTTACAGAGTAGAACTGATCCATAGGGTGATTTTGGAGGGGGTGTGGGGTGTGGGTGCACTTTAGGGAAGGAGTGTGGTGTGCTGTAAGAAACACTGAACTATTAACCACAAGGTTAGTGGTTTGAGTCCACCAACTGCTCTGTGGGAGAAAGATGAGGCTTTCTACACCTGTAAAGATTGACAACCTAGGAAGCCCTGTTTTCCCTCCATCCCAGTACACTCTCTAAGATACCAGTAAAGATATTTTCAAAGGTTAAACTCCGCAAAGGTGTGAATCCTTGGAGAAGAAACGTGGCATCAACGAACGTATTGAAAACGGGAAAGCAGATAAGTAAGTTAGTAAATTACTTACCAGACCCTAGAAAGATGAACTCTGACGTACTTGGCAGTGGGGGCGTGGGGAAGAACTTGACTTCTACAGGCCGGAAGTGTTAATGGCAGGTAATTCTGGAAGGAGGCATTGTGGTGGTTGTTGTGAAGTGCCTTCGAGTTGATTCCGACCCATAGTGACCCTGTATAGGGTTTCTGAGGAGCAGCTGGTGAGCTTGAACCACCAGCCTTGCAGTTCAAATGGCTTTGCAGTCTGGCGCATTAACCCACCGCGCCACACCAGGCATGAAGTATGGTATATAAGGGTGGACTCCTGGCGTGGCACTGTAGGTCAGCAGTTCAAGCTCACCAGCCACTCACGGAAACGCTCTATAGGGTCACTATAGGTCAGAACTGACTCGATGGCATTTAACAACAACAACAATAGTGGTCAAAAACTGTCTCAGAACCAGGTCAATCCCGAGAGTCCCTCCGACTCCACAGAGCTGCACTCCCACAGAAACCATGGAGACCATCAGACACAGTAGTTCGTGGATTGAAAAGTGGAACCACCTCTTCTCCACCAGTCCACCCTTTTCTCCAGAAAGCTGGCAAACAAACCTTTACACTTGAATCTGGAGACTGGCAGATCTTTCCCTGGGCTCTTTGATAATGCCTGTGTATTGACTTTGTGGGTTTCCCATCAAAACTGCCGAGTGATTTCACATTAACAGATTGTTGTTGTTGTTGTGATGTGCCGGGGAGTCTATTCAGACTCATAGCGACCCTGTACAGGGCTTCCGAGGCTGTAAATCTTTACAGGAGCAGAAAGCCTCATCTTTCTCCCGTGGAACAGCTGGTAGTTTTGAACTGCTGACCTTGCGGTTCACAGCCCGATTCGTAACCACTACGCTACCAGAGCTCCTTTACAGGTAACAGGAAAAAATAGCTATGACCATCTCAGATACAGAGAAACCATTTGATAGAATTCAGTATGTATTCATGAAAAATTCCACTAGCAAATAAGGAAAAGACAAGATATTCTTTAACCTTATGAAATAACCCACTAGCTTCCTGTCTTATAGCAACTCAATAGGGTAGAGTAGAACCGCTCCAGAGGGTCCCCCGGCTGTCAAGCTTTGGGAAGCAGACACCTCATCTTTCTTCCATGAAGTGACAGGTAGATTCAAACCACTGACCTTTTGGTTAGCAACCCAAAACTTAACCCACTGCACCACCAAGGCTGTAAAATAACCAACAACACAGGAAGATGTTTCCACGACCTCTATTCAGTGTTGGACAGGGAGTGCTATCCAGAGGTAGAAGACAAATTAAGCAAAAAATGAGAATTAGAAAGGAAGAAAATTTGCTTAATAGTGATTATGCATAGATGATCGTTTACACAGAAAACCCAAAATAATATAGCTACAAATCATGAGAATTTTTAAAGAGCGTTTAGAATAGTTAATGGCTGTAAAGTCAATACACAAAAGTCAGCTAAACTTTTATACAGTGGTAACAAACAGAAAGTTTAGTTTAAACAAAACATACCATTTAAAAGAGTAATAAAACTAGGTATCTGGAGAGAAATCAAACCAAAGCTCAGTATGAAAGTTCTGGAGAAAACTATTAAAAGTTTACTGAAAGTCATTAAAAGGACACTTAAATCAATGGAAAGATAAGTGACGTTCTTGGATTGGACAACTGAAATATTAAAGATGTCAATTTGTACCCAATCCTCAACACAGGTTTCTATGGAACTTTGAAACTGATTCTGAAATATGTATGGAAAAGCAAATGGTTGAGGTTACCCATGGCACTCTGGAGGAGGGTGTTAGTCCTACCCGATATCAAGAGCTATTGACAACGACAGTAAACAACACAAAGTAATTCTGATACAAAAGTTGACCGATATGCCAATAGAATACAAGGGAAAGCCCAGAAACTGCTGAGTTATAGGATATGTGCATCTTCAATTTACTAAATAAAATGAATTTCCAAAGTGGTTGGGCCAGTCTACAAATATACCAGGAGTTTTGATGACTTCACATTCCTGGTCACCACTTGGCTAGACCCAAACTCATGGGAATTTGACATGAGACTAGGGGAGAGAATGGGTATCCATGTGGGGTTAGGGTTAGAGGGTTAGGGTTAGGGTTGGCTTAGGGTTAGGCCGTTTTCTAGTCTATTTTACCACCATATGTTACAGCCAGTTCAAACTAGATTGGGTCCGAGTGGTGTAAATGGTTAAGTATTCAAGTACTAACTAGCCTAGATTTTGGCAGTTCAAGTCCCTCCAGAGGTACCGCGAGAAACACCATAAGAACCCTGTGGAGCAGTTCCACTCTGCACACACGAGGTCACCGTAAGTCCAAATAGATTTGATGGTATCTAACGACAACAACAAACTCGGTTAATAACCACATGTGAATGGCATAACTTTGTAAGTTTTTAGGAGATAATATAGGGAAACTATGACCTCAGAATAGGAACAATTCCATAAACAAAGCAGAGGTATAAATCATATAGGAAAAAATTAAGACGTGGCTCTGTAGGATAAGGTCGGCAGTTCAAACCCATCAGCTGTTTTCAGAAACTGACTCACAACAGCATCACATTAAAACCAAGAAGTCTTCATAGAAAAATCTCAAGGTGTTAAGTGCTGGCCAACTGTTCCCCACTCGTAGCGACTCCATGTGACAGAGCAGAGCTCCCCTGGAGGGTTTTCTTGGTTGTAATCTTTACAGAAGCCACTGGGTGGGTTTGAACCAGCAACCTTTCAGCTAGTAGGCACACCCTGAGATGGGCTCTTTGAAATTCACAGAAGCCACAAATGCTCACTTGCCATGTATCCACTTTTTAAAATGGCCGAAAATGCAACCGACAGTTTACAGAAGACAACAAAAGAAATGACTTTTAAACACATAAAGATATGCCCAAGGTGATTAATCAGGGGAATGGTCAATCAAACCACAATATGATGCCCTTTTGCCTCTATTGTTGTTGTTTAGTACCGTGGAGTCGGTTCCGGCTCATAGCGACCCTGTACAGGGTTTGCGAGGCTGTAAATCTTGACGGGAGCAGAAAGCCTCATCTTTCTCCCGCGGACCAGCTGGTAGTTTCCCACTGCTGACCCTGAGGTTAGCAGCCTGATTCATAACCACCATGCTAAGGCCCTGGCAGGAGAAAGTGGGAACTGGGAATTCTAGTGAATAAAATGCTCGGCTCCTGGCATGTCTTGAGTTGGGCTGAGGAAGAGACTAAGGCTCAGAGCAGGACTGGGCAATGCCAAGTGTTGACCAGGATGTGGAGTCATCAAATGTCCTGGTAAATGTGGTCCAACCCCTTGGTGAAGTCATTTTATTTAGTAAATTGAAGATGCACACATCCTATAACCCAGCAGTCCCATTCCCATTTGAACGCCTAGAAATTCCTACACGGGTGTGGGAATGTTCACGGCAGCTCCCAGACTGTAAACAACTCAAGTGTCCATGGAAGGTAGAGTGGGTCAATAAAGCATGCTGTGGAAAAAGTGTGTTACTGTTAAGTACCATCAAGTCGGTTCTGACCCATAGTGACCCTGTATAGGATTTCCAAGGAGCAGCTGGTGAGTTTGAACCGCCAACCTTGCGGTTCAAAAAGACCTTGTGGTCGAGTGTTTATTGTGTAATGCAACCCCAAGACTCCATGGAATGATCTCCAGCCATGCCAGTGAATGAAATAAAGCTAATGTAGCGTAGTGGCTACGAATCGGGCTGCGAGCCGCAAGGTCAGCAACTCGAAACTACCAGCGGTTCCGCGGGAGAAAGATGAGGCGGTCTGCTCCCGTAAAGATTTACAGCCTCGGAAACCCTGTGTAGGGTCGCTATGAGTCGGAACCGACTCCACGGCACATCACAACAACAACATCAACTTGTAAAAGTATTAGGTACATGATGCTAAGCACAAATGACTACTTAAAACACATACGTGAAGATTCTATTGATTCAAAAGTTCAAAAACCAGGCAAAAGTCATCCATATGTTCCCTAAGGGCCAGTTGGAGTTCTGGTGTGGCAGTGTGGGACAAGCACTGGACCTCAAAGTTGGAGGTTCAAACCTACCAGCTGTTCCTCGGAAACCCTATAAAAGGTTGCTAGGAGTCGGAACCAACTTGACGGCACTTAACAACGACAAGAATAGTTATAAAGCTTAATTTAAAAGGAAAATGAGTGGTAAGCAGAGAATTCAAGATAGTATTTTACCTCTTGTGGAGGGAAAAGGAGATAGGAGGGGAAGTGGGTGCTCAAAGACATTGATTGTGTTTCATTTCTTAAGCTGGGTAGCGAGTACATGGATGGTACATACATGGTAAAACTTTGTATGTAGGAGAGTGCTTTAAATGCAGTTGTGATGCATTTGATAGAACTTCAGTAAGTGTCGTTGATATTTTCAAGATCTAATCTCAACAGTAAAATTGGGCCTATCTGATCAAAAAAACCCCAAATTTTTGAAGAAATCTTGGCAAACTTGTTTCAGTGGTGAGTAGTGGTATCATTTCACAGTAAAGGACAAATTGGCTATGTTGTATTGTTGTGAAGTGCCAGTGAGTCAGTTCCGACTCATAGCGACCCTGTATAGGGTTTCTGAGGAGCAGCTAGTGAGCTTGAACCGCCGACCTTTCAGTTCAAATGGCTTTGCAGTCTGGCGCATGAACCCACAGCGCCGCACCTGTATTGTGTTATAAATTTCAGCACGTAATCAGATATCCAGTCTGTCATCTGACCACCCAGTTGTGATCTGGTGGCAACTGGTCAAATGGAGACAGCTCATTCTCCTTCCCTGGTGCAGTCTGGTTGGAAACCATTAACCTGAGTCCTGTGCTGTTACTTCCCAGCAGGAGCATAGACAAGCTCAGTCCCTGAGAAGTGGCGCTGCTAACTGGACCAAGCAGTTCAGCGTGGATTATTTAGCTCTGGACTTTAACTCATCAGCAACAGCTACTGTACAGAAGGTATGCCATTGTATCGGAGAATTCCCAGGTGATGCCAGAGACAGAGGCAGAGACGATGATCTGGAGAGATGGAATGGCTGGGGACTCTAGACTCTGAGAGTACAGACAGTTACCCTGAAGAATAATGAAGTCAGCCCTAATCCTGTCACTCAGAGAGAAAGATGTTCTAGTGACTGATGCTCTAGTGAATTTCCTTCTAGGGTCTTCTGTGTTGAAGTACATGTTAGATTCCTGTTCTTTGATATGTGGATCATGAAGTTTATAGGCAATTTTCTCAGGCAGAGATGAGGGTGGGGAAAGGGTCACTAGAGGCTGAGGAAGGACCTAATAGTGAAGGGCTTCAAATGCCAGGCTGACCAGTTCCCACTCTCCTCTGTGAGGATCCCGAGCTAACAGGGAGCACAATTGTAAACTAAGCTCACTCATGGCAGTGGATGGATGGTGAGCAGAGCATGGTCATAATCCAAATCGTGCCCAACCAAAAGACAACAGATCATTTGGTGACAAAAGCAATTTATAGAGCATATTGTTCAATATGATTGCATTCAAAATTATAGATGCGCTGAAAAAGGTCTGGAAGCCTTCCACCCGCCTCTTGCTGAATGAGCTGCTTCTCCGTCAGCTGTAATGGCATTTCCAAAGGTGGAATTGAGAAACCCTGATCAGAAGGCGGGGATGAGCCAATAGGAGACAGTGCATGAGTCAGTTTGGCTAGCTATGAAATCAGAACCAACACGCCCCAGTTCTCAGTGAGTTGCAAGAACAAATCATTTTCACATTTGCTCACGTAATGTCCACTTTTGCTCATGTAATGTCCACTTTTGCTCACAGTTGCCTTCCATCCAAGGCCCAGGCGGCTCACATCATGTCAGGTAGCTAGGGCAAAGTTGAAGGGGGTAGAGGATAAAACAGCTATTTATATACATGCATACAAACAACAATTGTTAGACCCTGATGGTCACAGTAGGAAGGGGCAGAAAAGCATTTCGAAATAATATCCTGTACCACAGAAGGCTAGACAATTTTCGGAACATTTTATTAGCTATAATGACAATATTTTGTTCTCTCCCTGCAGAAACGTTTTCTTTCAGAAGAGCAAAGAGTAGACTACGTCCAAGTGGATGAACAGAAGACACAAGCTCTCCAAAGCACTAAGCAAGAGTGGACTGATGAGAGACAATCCAAAGTGTGAGGGGGGATGTGTACTCAGAGTCTGTCGGAAACATGGGAGGTTGGGGCTGGGGATGAGTTTTGGCAGTAGATCCACACAGTCACCCTAACCAAAGGTGGTTCCAGTGGTCTGGCTGCGAGCCTTGAGGAGAGGCGCCCTGTTTGAATGCTTTAAGGGAGAAGAGAAGGGAGCACGTGTCCATTCAGAGAGTAGTCTGTGGGAGTCCAGCTTCCTAGCCTGACCCTGTTGGGGCGGTTTCCTTCTCCAGCCACACTGTCCCTGCCTTCAAGCCCCATAGAGCCCTGGACTCGACTCTGCAGTCCTAAGAGGCAGAGATGGCAATCCCAGCCTTTGGCGAATGTTTGTCCTAGAGTTTGTTTACAATCTCATCAGTAGGCTATTTGGAGAGAGGATTAGAATCAGTATTGCTGCTAATAAGAACAAGACGACATGGTTTTACTCCAATAACTGGCATTCTGACCTCTGCCCAGTGTTAGGATTGCTGTTGTGGTTGTTAATTGCCATCGAGTCGGTTCCGACTCATAGAGACCCTGTATAGGGTTTCTGAGGAGCAGCTTGGTGGGTTTGAACTGACAACCTTGTGGTTCACAGTTCATTGCTGATCCTCCAGCGCCAATACTAATGGGGCTTGTTCCAGCCCCTGAAGGCACAGTTGGGGAGATTAATCCGAATGCTGGTCACACTGGTGGCCAAATCTATACTTCTTATTCCTAAGACTGCGGAAGATAAAGACAGTTGCAGATGGCAGGGCAAGGAGTTCCAGGCTCTGTGAAGCAAATCAGATGAGGCTGGTGGCTCTAAGAGCTTTGTGAGGAAGCAGCTACCCAGAGCTCAGTAGGCCCTTCCCAATGTACTTTCTCACACCTCTTCTCATGTGTCCCCATGAGGTGTGTCTCCCAGTGACCTGGCGAACACCAGCAGAAGAGTTTTGCCACCTTGAGGCAGGACATCAGTCCTCCCTGTCTCAGGCTTTCCCACACTTTTTCACTTCTGCTTTAGACATTACTAGGTCCTGAGAGTGTGGGCACTCCTGCGTTGTAATGATGGCACCATGTGACCCCTTCCTTTACAGGGTCCTGTGGTCGTGGGCCTCACAGTGACAGTCTCCATTCGGCACAGGGTTTTACTTAATGGCCCTTCCGGATTCTTCTGAGTACCTACAGCCAGAAGACATACTGAACAACTCTGATTAAACAGAGACTGGTCGGCCGGCCGTCCCTTGACAAGAGTGGATCATATAGATGGCAGGCCTGTGACTGTTAGTATAGTGGACAGTTGTAGTGGGCTCTGGGAATACCATTTTTCTCCTCAGGCAAAGAACTGAGGATTTGTCAAATGCACTGAATGACTTCGGAGTCCTAGGGAACCCAGAATCCTGAGAGAGCTCCTGCCCCCGGTGACCTGCTAGACCTCGGGGATCAGAATAACTCGTAGCTCCCCCTTACGTAGGTCCATGTCCATGTTGTTAAGGTTTCCGAGTGGCTGGTGACCTTGAACCACCGACCTTGTGGTTCAACCGACTTTGCACTCCAGTGCATTAACACACAGAGCCACACTCGTTAGTTGTTGTTAAATGCCGTCGAGTCGATTCCAACCCATAGCGACCCTGTATAGGGTTTCCAAGGAACATCTGGTGAGCTTGAACTGTCGACCTTGCGGTTCAAACAGCTTTGCAGTCAGGCGCATTAACCCACAGCGCCACACCAGGACTCCCCACCCTTGTTTAGGAGCAGTGAATTTAAACTAGGAATGTTCTGAAGAGGGGCTTCCTAATTCAAACGTATGGACAGTGATAAGGTGTAGGCATTTTTTGAAAAAAGAAAGGTGACTTCAGCGTCACTTCAGGGTGTTCTGTAATCATGCCCTGCTCTGAGAAAGCTGATCATGACTGGCTAATCAAAACTAACATTTCAGGAAGGCAAGGTCAATTTCGAACTTTGTCCCTGAAAAAACTAACAAATATCCTAAGTCCCCATGATGCCAGGCCAACCTTGTTTTCTGTTTCTGATGAAGGCAGGGTCTGATGTTTTTTTGTAATAGAAGTGATCTCAGATACCATTTCAAGCCTAGGACCGAGGCCAGGCCTGTATTGCACAGTAGACATCTTCCAAACGAACCCACCAGTGCATGTTGTTTAATGGCATTCATTTTTGTTTTCTTTCCCTGGAAAATTCCTCCAGGTCAGGGGCTGTGCAGTACAGGAGGGTGGGCTAAAGGGTCTTAATCAAGCTTGCAAGATCCAAAGGCCATGAGCCAGAGACCTTTGGGAGTTAAGCTGTGGTTGGGAAGGGAGGGACCCCGAGGCTCAGCACCCCCAGGCTATAACAGTGGTACCAAATGATACAGTGGGGTTGCTTCCTGGAGAGCGAGCATAGAGGCCAGACTGAAGGCTCTTCTTAGACCCAGTTTTCATCATCTCTGTTCCAACAACATCAAGGATTGAAAACAGTCACTTTGTGTTCACAAACTGGAATTTAGGCATTAATAAAAGTTTTATTAAGAGGAACAGTGACTAATATTGCATTGATTAAGGTAGGGACGCATGGCCCATTATTGTATTCCTGTCAATACACTGTACACCTGCACAAAGTTCAACTGGCAAAAACAGGATGAGACATCTAGTTACAACAATGAAAGAGAAGAAGAAGAGTAGCTGTTGAAGCTGCTTTTGCACAACGAACCATCTCATGGGATTTAGTTCTTTGATTTGGAGGTTTAGGGTCGTGGTTTCATGGAACATTCCAGTTAATTGGCTCAATGTGTTCGGTGCTTCTGTTCTACCTCCTAGCTGACTGCACAGCACCTGGGGTCTCTTTTTACCTGAAACAACAGCAGAAGAAGGAGAGTTCAGAACTATTGTTGTTAAGTGCTGCTGAGTCCGTTTCAACTCATAGCGACTCAGTATAGGATTTCTGAAGCTACAGATCTTTGTGAGCAAAAAGTTGCATCTTTTCCTCATGGAATGAGCAACCGATGGTCTCTAACTGCTTGTCCAGTGCTTATCCTACAAAGCCACCATACTCCAGTTACATATTAGGGTTTAAGAATTATCTAATTTTATTCAGAGTCTTTATTCAAGTTTACCTACTAGTAAATAAATATGAAGAATTTAAAATATTTTTATTAACTGAGATTGCAAAGCCACAATTCTGTGTGTTACCATGTTTACTGGCCCATAGGAGTATAACATACTCATTTAAGAACCAAATTTTCATTTGAAAAGCAAAATGCAGGGTACATGTAAAAACATACTGGTCTATTTTGTTAAGGAGTTAGCAGAAAAATAATTATTTGCTACATGCGATACTTGATATTTATCCCCAACTGCAGTGAAAGAATTGTAAAGTTTTTCTTCTAGAGAAAACTTTCCAAGTATGGTACTACATGTAATTTTATCATGATTCTCAACATGAGGAAAAGCATTATGACTTCCATTTCACACTTGGATCAATTGAGGTTCAGAAGTTCAACAACTTTCCTAATCGGATCAGTTGCACAACCAGGATGGAATTAGGGCCATAGACTATGAAGCTAGTAATGCTCTCTAGTTACCTGACTAGACATGATTTCAAAATACCTGAAAGCCTACCCAAATCTTTCCTTATATTCTTTCATTACTTCATTATTGAACTTCCCTGTGAATAAGTGCTTCTACATCTAAATATCACAAGTAGTGTTGAACCAAAGCAAAGCAAAGCACTGCCATTTAGTGGACTCAGGATCCATATGTAAAAATGTGTGAAAACCTTAATATATGCATTTCCAATGACTTTAAAGATAGGAAATGGATCTCGGTTGCAAGCATACACTCCTGCCTGAATCATAATAGTTTAGGTGTTTTTCAGCTGCCGTCACTGATTCCCTGTCGTGATGGCCGTACCTGCTATGGACTGAGGTGTGGTCCTGCCGCCCAAATGTGTCCTCAGCCCTAACCTGTATGCCTGTGATTAGAATCCACTCTGGGAAGGGGCTTCTTTGTTCCGCTGACAGTACAGTGGAGGGTGTGGCTTCAGTCAGCCTCTTTTGAGATAACTAAGGCAATACCCGAAAAGGAAACATGATTCTAAAAATTATAGAGAATATGTGAGGTAATTTTGAAGATGGGGTTTTTAGACAAATATCTCAAGTGGCCAGCAAAAGTCCTAAACCCACAGAATTATTAACAATTCATAGGATCACTTCTATATTCATAGCTATACTCCAGTGGTCTAGTCATAGCTTTCATATGTTAAGACCAAAGGTTTGATAACTTGAAGCAGGCAACTCGGTGTCCTTTCTGTGTGTTTCATGTCCCTGGAAAACCCCCTTCTGGATTCCTATGAGCTGTTTCTCTGTAATTCTGCACATGAACAACAGAGGAAGGAGAGTCAAGAATAGGAGGAAGACATGGAACGGGTGACTAATTGCCTCCATGAACAACTGCGTCCTTGTCATGAAACCAGAACTGCATGGTATATCGCTACCATTATTGACCATTTTGATGAAAGGGGGAAAATACAGATCAGAATTACAAATTCTTGTGGACTATAGACTTTCTAGAGTCATGGAAGCTGGATGAACCCGTAAAATTATTGCCCAGAGTGAAATTTTAAATCTTAAACCAAAAACAGCCCCTGGAGTTATCTGGAAACCAAACAGTAGTTTAGCTTAACTGGTAAAACACGTGTGCCTTGACCATTATGCTCTTTGAGAAACGATGGGATCACACCTTGGAGGAGAAGTGAGTATATTAGTAGAGGAGAATGTGTAGAAACTTGAACTGGTGTATGTATATTCTCAACAACAAAATACATTTATATCTAAAAAGTGGAACTAAATGTCTTTTTAAAACATTTTGATTAGAACAGATTGGTTCCCACAAGGCACAAATATAAAACTATAGCAGACTTGACTCTCAGGTTTATCAAAGCAATATTACTAAATAAAATACTATCCAATGGAATTTTGTAGTTAATTTAAACAATATGATAAAGTAGAATCCCTTTGAGGAATATAAGGAT